GACTTACAGAGCTCTTGAAGTTTTATAGCATGAAACAACCAATGAAATAAATTTTATCAATAAGTTGTAAGATAAGGTATAAGACAAGTAAGATATCAATAAGATAGATATTCAAATACTGTAGTTAAACATCACATACTGCATGACATCACATTATTAGTCATGCTAAGTTTGTGGTAAAGCTAACCGTGCATTTTAGGGATCAGCATATGCTTTTGGGTGAGAAAGAATTTATCTTTTTTTACCCACTGCCTTGCAAAAATGTCCATTAAATTCAGAGTTTCTTGAACTGTTAATAATAGGCCACTGTAGGAACAGACAATACACAGGTTTTGCCATAGTAAATAAGACAACTATTTCTACTTTTCATTACCACACCAAGACTTACTAGTTTATTGCTTTAGGAATAACTTTGGGGGTTAACTTTGTTTTCTTTTGTTCACATTATAATTAGGTTCTCTTTCCAGTGCTGTGGTCCATCTCCTTCATACACTCCAGTGACAATATGGTTTTAGAAAGTGGAAAATATTTAACATTTTTTCCCTTAGATTGCTATCAGAAATTAAATTGACAATATTAGCAAAGCAGAACAAACAGTGCCCTCGCTTACCTATGGGCCCTGCCAAAGGACACAGTTACTTCACAAGTTGCAGCTCCAGTGTTGCAGATGTTAGCTCCAGCCACTTCCAGATTCTTGTCAGTCAGACAGATGTTACTTTTCAAAACACGGTGTTTGCACCGTTAGCACACCAGCCATCTTGTCTAGTACAGACTTTCCCTTGCCACTTCTAATTGCAGTCGCCCTCCTGTGCCATGTTGTCTGGCAGCAAAACTCCATAGAAATGTCAAATTTATGTTGAATGCAGTCAGGCTTTCGGATCACAGCACATGGATGAAGATGTGCAATATGGGGGGCTGGAGCAGTACTGCAAATGAAACCTTGCTATAGTGTGACAGTGCATTCTGTCTTGTTTAAAAGGAAAAATTCCTGCCTTAAAAGCTAGGTGCAATCATCAAATATCTCAACATGGGAGATCCAAGTCACTAAATAAAAAGTTGTGAAGTCTATGATGAGTTCTACATCTAGAGCCAGGGTTGACAAGCCAGCACTTTTTCAGGTTTGATTAAGGTCTTCTAGCATTTTTTTTTCAATATTAACTGTTGTTTGAGGAGGCAGTTACTTACTTTCCTCGTCTCAAACTGAAGAGGAGCGAGAACACTTATTTTTACACTGTGTGGTCTGAAGCCATTTATTCTGTACACCAACACAGCTGCTCCATCTACACTGTGAACAGCTAGCTTGGGTTTTAGCAACAGTCTAACAGGAGAGGTACAGAGCTCTGCAACCCAATTCACTCTGTTCCTTACTCAAGCTTTGCAGCTGTAAACTTTGTACTATTGCAACTAGACTAAGTCCCCAAGAGAGTCTGTTGTCTCTGTTAACCTGTGGCAGAGTCTGCGCCTTTTATTCTTTTATGTCTTTCAGAGAGAGAGAGATGAATGAAAACCAAAACACTGAAGAAAAAAAAAAAAGCAAAACTACTTTGGGAAGGCCCTTTTGCATATACTTCTGCTAAGCTAATGTTAAAGGAGCTTTCCCAAAGAATCTGTCTTCCTCTTCCTTTCCAGCAGAGAGTGAAAGCCATATGCTGATGCTAAGGAAGAGGAAGGATATGAAACCATCTAGTGCAGCTACAGAACTACCAGGAATAGTAGGTAACCAACTTGAACAAGTGGGAGTAATGCTACTGAGGCTAATGGCTCATCATGTGGAGATGCACCAGTGGGATATGTGGGCTGAAGGAAGTCTACAGGGAACAGCAGCAAAGGACAGAACAGAAGAGGCAGGATGAACTTTTTTTTTTTTTTGCTAGAGCACTAGCAGGTGATGTTTCAAATACATAGAAACAGACTTCATTGCTGCTCCCAATCATCCAAAAATCTCACTTTGGTTGCAATCAATCTAAAACATGAAAAAAATGACTCTTCAAAGTCCTTACTGGACTCCTGTTTCTTGTTTTCCCTACAAAGTCTGAACAGTGGGGATATCGGATACAACCTACACTGAGTCTTGTTATCAACTAGTACAATCGGTTTGATGAACAAAACCTTAAATAAGATAGTCATTCAGCTCACCTGTGCCACTGACTGACTTGTATATTGCTTCTGTTAGAATAGCCTAAGCCAGCAGATATTGTATTATACTTCTCCTATTGATGCCCCATTTTTTCCTTATCTCAATTTCCAATGTCAGTGAGAAGCTCTCCTTGTTTTTTCCATTAACCAGGTACTTCATGGGAAGATGAACAAATCAGTCAGAGACCAAATAAAGAGGTTTCCTGCACCTTTCCACAAAAAATAAAAGACAATAAATCCACCTCTTCTTCTAGAGCCTCTTCACCAGTACAACTCGAAGCAACTGAGAAAATGAAGCAAGTCAAAACTAGATTGCAGCTGGTGGACCTGGCTGGCAGTGAGTGTGTTGGTAAGTGAATGTCTGTTCATGGGCGCAGATCCTCCCAGATCTAGGTTACAATAGTTGCCTTTACGTGTTTATGTAGGGATATGTGCTACCCTGCTTTCACATGGGGTGGTTTAAACCCACGGATCCCGGGGGCTGACTGTTCCAGTTTTACATTGGTACAGTGTAACAGAAAATCTGACTGCATAAGCTTGAAATAAGCCCAGGGTAAGGTTACCCGTATCATAAGTGTATTATTTGTTCAGACTGGGTTTATTAGGACTATTTTTCTACTCTGAAAATTAGCATGTCCTTGTACAGAAATGTTTAAAGTGCACAGATTATTTAAATATTACAAATATCAGTAATAACTGATATCACCATGTGTGGGGTTTTCTGCCTTATTGTGGAAAAGGTCTTGGAGGAAGTTAGTGTTGAAAAGATAATACTGTTTTCATGGTTTCTTCAAAGCATTTTCCTCCTCCTGCCTCCTCTATGCACACAATAATTTCAAAAACTTGATTATTTCCTAAAGGACAAGCTTTCTTACCAAGAAAAGCCATGCAGCCAAATGTACCATTCCAGAAATAATGTTTTGAAAACTGAACCAGTATTATGAAAGAGTCTTTTACTTTACTGCCAAGAATTCTTGCTGTTGCTCACTGTTAAACTTTTGTTCTACAGAGAAACCTAATATAATACATTATTTTTTTCATCTGCTCTGAGTGCTGAAAACTGTTTGGTAAACATGTAATTGAGCAACAGTGCGTGTGTTTGTTCTCTCAGCTCAACCAGAACAAACGTTTGCTTGGTTTGGGGCTTGGTGGGCTAGATCCGCCCATGCAGCCAGAAGAGCTGCACTCGCTTACATCCCTGTTAGATACAGCCCAGCACATGCAGCAGGCTAACCTTTGCCATCAGCTCCTCTGATAAAAGTGAGGGCAGCTGTTAACTCGTAATAGTTTTAAAATGTGGACAAACCTAAGTGAGCAGCAGTACAGCAGGCTTCTCGCACACTTCAGCACTCTGCCTTCTTAGCTCTACAGCTGTCCTGGGCCATTTACAGCACCCGCAAGCAAAGTGGTCCCTTTTACTAGGCTTCAGTCTGAAATGCTTTGTGGAAGTCCATCTAACCAAACATAGATAATCGGCAGTTTAAACATGTACCCCCTCACCTATTTGCAGTTCTCTGCTTTAGGGTATTATCTGTTGTCTCAGGAGTCCGACTTTGCTTGCTATAGATAAAAGAAGCCTGGGGATGGCTGTACACACCGTGACCCCCGTAATGTTAGTCTGAGATACATCCGATCTCAGATTATGGTCCACCCTGTGGCAGAGTCTTCCAAACTGTTTTGCTCTGTGCCTCTCTGCTAAGAGACTCTACCACTCCAGCCCTCACTCTCCAGACTTCTGGGGGTTTTGCTGTTACTGTGCCTTTTCACATTTCCACTTGAACACCTCTCTCGTTCTCCCAGTTTGGAAAATGCTGGCCTACAGGGAGAACAAGATGCCCAGCCTCTCTCTGTACCTCTCTAGAGGTGGGACAGGAGGCAGTTGAGGAGACTGTTAGCCTGGTCTGATCATCCCGCTACCATGTGTCCTGCCTAGCACGGATCATGCGCTCTGGGCAATGAGAAGTGATTGCAGATGCATCTGTGCCTCATCCACTAGCCTGAAGAAAGGTTGAATTTCAATAATGTGATGCTAAATGCTCACAGCAAGCTTATCTTCCCCAAAGGGCAGAGGTAAGGACAGGCATAATTAATTACTCTTAAGTGCACACTCGTCCAGGCCGATCAAAGAGTTGAGCTGGCAGCACCTCCTTAAATTGGTGCAATGGGAGGTGTAGACCAAACCTTTCCAGTGTTGCTCAAGGGCAGCAGAGCTACACTCCACCATGCTGGGTGTATGGTAGAGTGGCATCATTTTCCTTTATCAATTTCCTTACAGCAAATCATACCACAAAACAGCACCTTGCAGACTTCAGGGAACGTGAACCCGTCACACTTATGGCTGCTGTACGGTTTTGTTTCTGTAGCTTATGCCATCTCTTTTTCCTAAGGGATACAGCCAGGGCGGTTAACTCCTACATAAAATGGTGGAACACAACAGGCTTCTCTCTGGGGACAGTGTGGACTGGTGTTTTCAAAAGCAGCATTGTCTTGTCTGATCTCACAGTGTTCCTACTTTCTCAGTTCCCTGTTCTTAATACATTTGGAGCCAAGATGCATTGTACAGCTGAAGAGACCAACTTGAACATGAGATGCTTCAGACCATCTGCAGGCGCTGAACCTTCCTTAACCTTCCTTCAAAAGAGCAGAAGTACTGAACAATGTATTGGCAGGCCAGAGTGAAAAACCACTGCATCTTGATTTTGGCATGGCTGGACTGGAAGACATCGTTCAGAATCTGTGTTTAAAAATGTTGCATCAAAAGTAGATAATACAGCAATAGAATTTTTCACACATTACAGTGGAAGCAGCTTTGCTTAGTCTTACCATTGCCTTTTTCTGCATTCTACCAGGTATGTCTGGAGTGACAGGTGCAGCACTGAGAGAAACTTCGTTTATTAACCGCAGCTTGTCTGCCCTAGCAGATGTTCTTGGAGCAATAGCAGAACAGCGACCTCACATACCCTACCGAAACAGCAAACTTACACATCTGCTTCAGGACTCTGTAGGTGAGGGATTACTCTGACTTTTGTTTAACAGTGTAGATTTCTTTTCCCAATTTTTCTCCTCCTTTGTTGTGTAAAACTAGAGGATGATCTTGTAGTCCTCCCTTGTATAAGACTCTGGCTTTGGAGCAGTGTGAGTACACAGTGAGAGTTCTGAACTCCTCCTGAATTTGGCTAAATGTTTCCATGGTTCAGTTTAGGGATACACTTGTAAAAACCACAACATCTCTAATAGGATTGTGTAAAGGGTAATAATCGCATTTCATTGGTGTTTCACATCAACTACGGTTTAAAAGTTAAGCTTCAATTTTTACTACTACAGGGTGTAGTCACATATTTTCACATTCTTTAACACTATGCCCTGTAGCAGTAAGACAGAACATATGCGTGGTACTGTGCTACAACTTTTTGTGTTTGGGTCACCTCCTCTTCTCTAGCTTCTCATCTGTGGAGAAACAGTTTTGAAGTAAGTGTAATTCCTGCAGTAATGTCAGATCTGTGTGGATCTATAAAGCATATTAGTCCATTTTTCTTCAGCCAGAAAGCATCAGCCCTTATGCTTTCAGTCTCCAGTTCAAGGCATTGACAATGACTGAGGTAACAGTTCTTCAGAGCTTCTGAGAGACTATTAGTTTTTGCTTGAACTTTGAATTTCACCTAGTGCTGGAGTCCCCACTGTGAAAGGGAAAGCCAAAGAAAGATGTGAGTTTAGGAGCTATGTTGTATGGGCACTGAGCCTGGTTTTAACCATGCCTGGTGTGTGACTTGGGTGAGACTGCTTAGGTAAAATGTTGAAAGTAGTAATTTCTTTGTTTGATTAATCATTCTCTGTGAATTTCTAAGTCTGTTTTGTTTTACTGTCACACAAATAATGTATTGTGCCATTACCTCAAATTTACAAACATCTGACAAAGCTTAATGAAGTGCCCAGACCCATAACCTAAATGCTGACTAATTAACTGATGAAGCTATAAGGGGAAAAAAATCTACATTACAAATTGTGAAACATTTATTCTGCTGGGGCAAATGTCATATCGTTAGATATAGCTTTCCCTTCCAGGAGCTGTCTTCAACAGCCCTCTTCACAGGCAGTCATCTGCTTCATAAAAGCAAGGGCAGCCTATGCTTGTTGTGTAGAGCAAAACCTTACCAGTATATAACTTACTGAAAATAATGAGGTAAATAAGTATGTTTTGTCTTTTTTCTGCTTTTAGGAGGTGATGCTAAACTGTTGGTGATGCTGTGCATCTCTCCTGACCAGAGGTACTTAACAGAATCAATGCAGTCTCTGGGATTTGGAACTCGTGCTCGGCAAGTTCAAAGAGGACAAGTCAAGAAAAAAAGTTTCCCAGTGCTGAGTAAAGCAAAATAAAGCCTAAGACTCCTGTGGATTAAAGTATTATTAATGAGTTCCTCAGACTGAAATGTATATTGCTGTCCTAAAGCCATTCTTTTAGATATCTACTGCCAGATAAAATAAACAATCCTCAACATGGCATTAGTAAGCCATAAACCTGCTGATAATGTTCTTGCTCCAAAGATAATAGCAAGTATTGACAACAGCTACCAACCATGGTGGAATGACATAGAAATAAACTGGGCTTTTTTAGGAAAGCTACTTCAAGACATGGTTTTGGTCATGTGTTTCCTTTGGGCAAGTAGAACTAAGTCAGCAGAGCCCTGGTTTAGGGTGGCTCACTTCTGAAAAGTCAAGGGTACATTCTGTTTTCTCAGCAGAAGACAGGAGTCTAAATATTCCAGTGCTTCAATGCAACAAGGGAAATACTTCTTCCCAGCTTGGATTAAAATGAAACAGGTCGTTATGGCTTGCTCTTCTGTCTAGCACAGATGGGGTTGTTCCTAATGCACTATCAATGTTGGTAGGAGCGTAGAGGAGCCCACCAGCTGTACTGGATGGAGTCCTGGTCTCTGGCTTTAGGAAGGAAATAATAGCACTGGTGAGATGGAGAAGGGGGAGTGAGGCTGTATCTGTTATCCTGCTGGAATGGAGCTTAGGGAGCAAATGAGGGATTATACAACTTTTTGAAAACACACTCAGATTAAAGGGTTGGAGCAAATCCCAACTCTGCTGAGTTCACTGAGACTTTGCCCATTTTGGGTGGGGTTTTGTGCTCTGTGAGTGCTGAAAGACCCTGAACTACAGATCCTAATGGGACCTAACTTGTACATCTATTTTGGTAGTATTCTGGCTTGTTGTTTCACTTGCTTTTCTGAAGCAAATTAACCACATCACAACCTTGAATACATGCCTGCACATCAGAAAAGGATCACTACACACGTCCCATCCATCATATAAATAAACCACCAAAAACCCATCCTGTGACATGACGCTTGCCATCCTCAGGAGGCTTCCACTCTTACACCAATGTTGAGACAACATCATGCTGGCTTTGTGAATGAAGTTACACTGGGAGAAGTTTCAAGGAAACTGAACCAACGTTAGAGATGAGTAGTTGGGTTCAGATAACATCTGTTTTATGCACTGCATCATGGCTCAGCAGAGGCCTCAGGAACCACTCTGAATTTTTACCTCCAGCAATCACTCTGCCTCTAGACTGGGAGAGAGGTCACAGGGAGGTCACTGCAAGATGGCTTAAATTGCAGTGGCCTGCCCAAATGTCTGGAGTTTATAGTACTCCAAGTCACTTAACCTTCACAAGCATAAATATTTATCCAGCGATTATATAGCATACTATTATTGGAATTTCATCCTTGAATATGTAACAGCTGCTGTGTCGCAGGCAGCGCCCTGGTGCTCAGAACGTGACCATCACAACCAGAGAGCTGCAATAATACTTGTTTTCCTAAATAATGTCACAAGGATAAAAATGCCTCAACTTTACCAGATTCTAGCAGTAACAGATGGGTAGGAAAAGAATCTGGACACTGGACCTTATGAAGCTGAGTGGTCTTTAAAGCAATCTCAGGTAAGAGAGGGTCAGAGCAAGGGCCATTAGCCTGCTAAATGAAATGCAGGAGCAGAGAGCTTCAAGCTCCCCTTAGTCTCCCACCAGCTGGGCTACTATAACAGTCTGGATTAGAGCTCTAAAAGAGGTTGTGACAAGAGAGCACTGGCTGACTCCACCAGCATTTTTAAGTTCTTCAAATATTTGTAAGGATTTGACATTTCCTAAGTGTTACATAGGAATGCAACTTGTCATGAACTGTTCTTTCTTTTCCGGAGCTGCTCTTCAAAACTTGGCATTTATTTACAAACTGTGTAGTAGGGGAAAAGCAGCAATACTTATTGTTAAAGCTGAGAAATAAACGACTCAATATCAGCAAATGCCAAAAGTCCATGTTTCTACATTAACTGCCAAATTGTGCGTATGCACCACTCCTTATTTCTGTTTTCCTTGTCAGCATAGCGTTATAACTGTGCAATTGTTTGACCTGTGCAATGAAGTATACAGGATATGCAGGGCCACAAAGGTAATATTTTGCTCTAAGAACATTCAGTTTTGGAATTTCCCGGGTTATAGAGACATGATTCCTCAATCTCAGTGTCAGATATGCACTGAAGGAAAGGTAAAAGTTGTGAGGGTGAAACAGCTTTACTCCATCAGCTACTGTCAAGTGTCTCCTGCCCTAGGATTCACTTGGACCTGCTAAAGGATAGGCAGAGATCTTCAGACATGTAACTGATGTCCTGAGGAGCAAGGAAAACAGCATATGCAAGGCCCTCTGCTACAATTTTTTTGGTTTTCAGATCTTTCAAGCTTTGAAATTACAGCTATGTTAGAAAGACATGTGTGACATACTCATGGAGCTGACTTTGTTTCCTTTGTTGACCAAACCCTTTCTTGATAAACCAGTCCTCATCATCTTGACACCGTAAAGCCGAAACACACATACCAACACTGGGAGAAAGAAAGTGACATTTGAAAGTGTTCTAGAAAAACTGAGACAGGAGGTCATAAGCACCAGGAAAAAGGTGGTTGTTTTAAAAGTGCCCATGTAGGCTATTTGCCAATACAGCTTTGCTCTCTGGGAGGGCAGGGGAACAAGCAAATAAGAGAAAAAAAAACAAACTATCATCAGGAGAAAATCCTTCCAGTGAAGCCCATGAGTGGATAATCCAGAGCTCAGCTGGTCTTTTGGTGCACTGAAGCTCAACTCTGCTTGGCCAGGCCCCTGGGTCACTGTTTTGGCAGGAGTGCTGCTCAGTAACAGGGCATCCTCTTGCCTACCCACAATCCGCATGCTGTGTTGGCAGCCAACACATTACCCTTTCACTGCTGGGCTCTCATTTTCCTCCACTGGGCCCCCACTTTCTCCTGTGACAGTTTGGCCAGTCAGCTACATCACACTAGCCCTAGGAAAGAGGTGTTCCACCACATAGCCACTCAAGGCCCCACACAACCCAGCTACCCCTTGGACTACCCTTCAGATGCCCCTCTCAAATTTATTCTGCCATCTTCCTTGCCCTGCAAATGAGCTGAGCAAACCACTTTAGCAACAGTAGCTATGAGCTTCCACCTCCTCCTCAAGAAGCCTACCCACAATTGAAACCACAGCAAATATGAGAGAATTTGGTCTTGTGAATACTTTGGTATTCAGCATCCCAGTTTAGTGTCAAGTTGGCCAAGGAGTCAAAGGCATGAAGCCCAAGCACATAATGGTGGAAACTGCTTCCACACTGCAAGCACCCCTCTTCCCCCTAGCACCCTATTCACATGTCCTCTAACCCACAGGCCAGGCACCCTCCCAGAAAGCAGAAAATTTGGATCCAGTTCAAAGACAAGGGATTTGAGCTCATAGCTCTCCCCACACAAGCACATGCTCTAGCTTGTAGGACATCCAGCAGATCTGGAGCTGGGGCAGGGAAAAATGGGACTGTCAGTGCAACCCC